TTGCCCAACAATTTAATTTTCAGCTTGAAACTAGAATTAGGATCCATGCTGTTATTCAAAATCAAAATAGCGTCTCAGGACTCGATAAACTTGTAACTACTGCTAGGAGTAAAAAAAATGTAGACTCACTCTTGCAGCCAGTCATCTTCGTCGAAGTCGACGCCATCTTGGTCGGAGATGACGGTGCCCTGCTCGGGCTGGACCAGCTCGTCCTCCACCTGCTACCTATGGGAGGGGCCAGCCAGAGCCACGCATGCCTCGCTGCGGGATGGGCCATGGGCCAGGAGGAGGTGCCGGAGGTCCTGTGTGTCGGAGGTCCTAGCCACACCGTGTTGTGCTGCGGGGAGGTTGGAGTTCAGCGCCACCCTCGCCGGAGGTGGCGGCCGCGCCAACTTGCATGACCAGGTGCCGAGTGGACGTGGGGGCGGGCGGGTGCGCTCCACGAGTCGAGCAGCGGCGCCTCCCCCACGGCGCCCTAGGGTTGGAGCAGCGGCACCTCCTCCACGAGTTGGAGTGGATCCCGGTGCACTTGGATCAGGTGGATCTGGGGCAGGGGATCCCGATGGACGCCCCTGGCACGTGGCGGCGCCCTCCCCCATCGGTCTCGCGTCGCGCCCTCCCTCATCGATTGTGATAGCGCCCGACGCCCGTCCCTCGCTCGGTGTGATGCGGCGGCTTCTGAAACACATAAGGGTATTTTTGTCTTTTCACGTATCTATCAGTGGACAAGCTAACAGAGTACCCTAACGGACTTGACAGAAGGCCATAGAAGGAATGAAAGTTCGTTTCAGGAGGTAAGTTCAAAAAAAAAGAACCATACAAAAAAGAGCCATTTTTTAGGCCATACAGATAAAAAGCTCTTCTAAGTAGTAGTATAGTACTGCGATTGACACCCCCATTTAATAGTAAATTAATTAATGGAAGATTAAAGGAAACCAGTTGGCGAGAGAGAACAAAGCTGGGGTCTGAAGCAAACTGTCTCCGTCAGCAAACACAACCCCCACACAGCAGATGCCGTTTCATGTCGACGTCAGTCACCGTCGGACCCATAGATACGAGTGCAGTAGCAGTAGCAGGACTGGGGCGTTTGGATTATACTCTATGGAGTACGTATATTATACTCCATCCCAATAACATTTGACAGTTTATTACTCGTCTTATTCAAAAAGTTTGTGCAAATATAGTCAAATTTAAGTCATTCTTGAAGAATTTTTATTAATAAACCAAACCACGACGAAAGAAGTGATATTTTATACAAATTTTTGAATAAGACGAGTGGTCAAACTTGGTGTCAAAAAAGTCGAACGTCTTATAATTTGGGATGGATTGAGTACATAGCTAACTAGATGCATAGTAAAAGGAGTAGAAGTTATATAGAAACTTTTTACAAAAAATCAGTTTAGGAAATGAGGAAAATAGCCGCATTGCAAATGGGCCGTTAGTTATGGGATTCGTACGAATTTCAAACGAGAGGAATCTGCATTGCCCGGATGAGATTTGGGATCGAGGCGTCGGCACAGCAGCATGTCGGCGAGGCGGCGAAGAAGCGCTGGGCGGCAGCCCAGCACGCGCAAGGGGCTCGAGAGCGACACACCTGACACCTACTCATGCGCGGCGGCGTGGCCTGCCGCCGGAATCGCGCGGTCTGCCCGGCGCCCGGCACGGAGAGCTGCTCCGATCAAAAGCCCGCGCGCGGTGGCTGGGATCCTCCGGGGCAGCTGAGCTCCCTTGTCAGTGGTCGTGGTCGCCCTGCCCAGCTGGTTCGTAGAGTACGTTACGTTACGTGGCCTGTCCAGACACCAGGGCCCCAATCCAATTTGTTTTGGCACAGGCACGCCACGACGGGTCTCTACGTGCAGTTCAAACTTCAAGGCGACGAGAACACGTGTCCATGTTTCGACGCGACGTATACGTGGCAGGGCTGGGCGACGGGATTTGCATGCTGTCCTTGTCAGGCGGCGGCAGCCATCAGTGGGCGTGGAACACGTGTCCATGTTTCACGTTTCTTGTGTGCCCTGCCGCTGCCGGACCCCGCCGGTGTCCACTCCACTAGGAGTAGTCCTACTCCACTCTAGTACAGTACTAGCCATGTGAGCGTAGCTGCGGCTCGATTTGGAGACGGTAGCGGGGGCAGCTGGCCCAACAATGCGTCCGTGACTTGGAAGGGAAAATAAACGGGCCCGATATATCGGCGCTACAAATCAATTTACTCTGTGACAGATATAATTATTTAGGATATAGGAATTGATTTAATTAGGGATCGACTGTGGGTCTGCGGTTTCACCATGAAGAATATAGCAATGCTTTTGGTCAAATAGAATGCTTTCTTTTCGAAAGCGGAACGCCTAGCGCCCGGACGTCCGGATGTGGCTCGACACTGCTGCTTGCTCTCTGCGATTCGCATCCATACCCCGTGTCACGCCTCAAAGACAGCGCGGCCGATCCGTCGAGGACCCGCGCCCCTTGACAGGAAAAACCCGTGGGTTGACCCACGGCTGCGATGAAGAGCAACGACGACCACAACCGCGGCGCGTGTAACACCTCGATCTAGTTTTGCAACATCAAGGTGAAACATTTGCAACATACATCTAAAACAGATGAAACATTTGGAACATACAATTGAAACACCATTGCAACATGTGTAACATCCCGATCTACTTTTGAACCATCCAGAGGCAACACTTGCAACATACAAAAAAAGACATATGAAGCACTTGAGACATGTGTCTGAAACACTTGTAACATACGTGTAAAAACAGATGAAACATTGGGGATAAATGCTTGCAACATACGTGTACAACCATTACAACATATGCTATATCCCAATCTACTTTTGCAACATCCGCATGAAAACATTTGAAACATACATCTAAAACAACTGGAACACTTGAAACATGGGCTTGCAACATGTCTGAAAAGCATCCAGAAACACTTGAAACACAGCATCGTCACGTGGCCATGACCTACCTAGTAGGCAACTGTGGTAGTGCATGCTCGCTGGATGGCGCGCACCCGCACACCCGCCGTTGGCCGAGGGAGAGGAGACGCTGCTAGATCTGGTGAGGGCGTCGCCGGTCGGGGCAAGGGAGGGTCAGCAGCTTGCTTGATCTCGCCGGGGTTGGGAAGAGGACCACCGGATCCACGAGCGTTGCGCGCTCCCGGTGGGTAAGGACACCAGGGTGAGGGGAGGGGCGCCACAGGGGTGGAAGAGGAGGCCGCTAGGGTGGGAGAGCGGGGTAGGTGTGGCGCGCAAGCGTGCAAGGGAGGACGAGGGACTGTGCGCAAAAGTGAAGCAGCGAGGCGTCCGTATGTTCCCGACGTCTAAGCAGAGTATTAAGCTTCCGAAAATGCGCGTGCTGCTGTTGGGGTCACGTGGATCGGAAAAAGAAGAGAGGACAGGGCCTGTGTCAGCCCACAGCGCAGTATGGTACGCAGAGGGCCGGAGAGGCGAGCGTGGCAAAGTCCATCACAATCACAAAAAATGGTACAGTAATTGACTTTGCTGGTCAGTCTCAGTGCACAGACGCCTCTGATGCTCCTCGTACTGCATCCTTGAATTCTCGCTCGCCACAGTACTCGCTAGACATGGGCAGACGCTTCCTGCTAGCCAGCAGCAACAATTGAAGCAGCAGCTCTTGACTCTTCTGTGTATCAGCTCTGTCAAAAAAAAAAATACAATTTTGGATTTAGAATGACTCGAACTTTATTAATTTTGTCTAAACTGATAAAAATTAATATAGGTATTTATGGCTCCAAATATACATCCTACAGAAAGATATTTCATAATTAATCTAACAATACTTATTTAGTAGTATATTTTATACACGTGCTATTCTACACCCTAGGTGTAGAACAATTCCATACCAAACTGTTATACTGAACAAAATTGACTACTATTTAGAAGTATTCAGTATTTTGTGGTGACTACCGACTGATACTGAACGCGATTCAGTAGCACTTACTATTTTTTGTGGTTAGTTTTGGCTACTTGGTGTAGAATAATTATTAGTATTTTTGGTATGGATTTATTCAAACTTAAAGATATTCAACTCCATGAGAAATAAGAATCGTATCTTCTTGGAACGGAAGGAATAGTACAAGAGTTTGGAACCCTAAACTCATTATCTAGGTTGCTTGTTGCGCTTGTAAGGCGAGCTCCTCGTGACTTCTACCTCAGTGCAATGCAATGATAAGCCGAGCTCACAAGTATTGCAGCCAACCACCAGCATTATTTGATGTGGATGGATCGGATGCGCGGGGCATGTGACTATTTGATTGAGATTGACACCCGCCCGCCGGGGCCCGTAGCGTATGCTACATCGCCTAACCTAATCCCCAACCGATCGATGTGCGATGTGCAATGAACCCCTCGTAAGCAGCTCAGCACACTGTCATTCACTGGAGCATTAACAGCTGATGAAGTTAACTTGTGGCTGCCGGCTGCCGCCGATGGCATTATGCGGATGGGCCATATATGGAATCGAGCTGCTCTCACGGGCCATTCCAAGAATCTGCTGAGGCCGACCGACCACGCCGCCGTCCGTTAGGCTCAGCCCAGACAAACGTTTAATATTTTTGCTTTTGTCATTCTTTGTGTCATTGTGTGTGTTAACCACTCTAAATACTCCACTTACGAAATTTGGCTCATGGCATTTGGTCGAGCACTTTGTAGGTACAGACACCACCGCAGTAGACATTCAAATTTGATCACAGTGTTGACTGTTGACATTCAAATTTGGCTAGGGTACTGAATCATCGATGAGATTTCAATGTTGATAGCCAAGTTTGAAAGTTGATTGGCCGTAAGCTATGGAGGACGGTATTTATTTTCGAGGAAAAATCGTTTGAGCAAATATGTCTCAGGTAGGCATATTTTGGTTTTTTTAAGACAAAAAGGCATATTTTGGTTTTGGAGTCCTGCTCCTGCTGCCCAAAACCCTTCCAGAAGCCGCGTGCCCAAGCCCTCGGCGCGCACGCCAAGCGGAGAAGCAGCATCGGCCATGGAGAAGGACACCAAGCCGGCGCCCGACGCCGCGGCTGCGCACCTCGCCGCGCTCCGCTGCGCCAGGGCCTCGCTCCTCCTCGCCTCCCTCCGCCGGCCCCGCGCGCCGATGCCGACGCAGGATCGCCGCCGGACCTCCTCCTCCTCGGCTGACGCAGCGGTAACTCCCCCTCACCCCTCGTCCTCCCCTGCTCTCGCCCCCCCGCACGTTTGCTATGCACGCCGTTCTCCTTCCATCGCTTCAGAATGACAGTGCGCGAGCTTTGCACTGCAGGAGGTCGCGCGGCTCCGGTCCGAGGGGCTCCTCCGCCGCGCCGAGATCGCGGCGGCGCGGCGCGAGGCCGCGGCCCACGCGCGGGTCGCCGGCTCCGAGCTGCTCCTCGTCCTCGCCGTGGCGCCCGCCGTCCTGCTGCTGCTCCTCCTCCTCGGGCTCCTCTAAGCCAGCGGCGGCGGGGGCTGGAGCCTGAAGCCTCCTCTCCGCTCCGTGCTCCGTGAGTTACGCTTCCGGTGACTGTGATCATGGCGTTCGACCGAGTTCAGTTTTGGTGATGAGGGTTTTGGAGTGCACTAGCTAGGTGTTCGATCAAATGCCTGTTTGAGTTTGGGTTGCGAGTAGATAAACAACAGATTTGGCCTTTTTTTTTTTGTTGCATTGCCCTGTCGACAAATGAAACCGACTGGTGTGAATATAACGTGGCTTGGTTTCTATGTGCTTGACATTCGACGAAATGGCTGCTCGTGTTTGGTGATTTCATTTCAATTTGATTCCAGTGCAGCAGTGCAGTGCTGCGTTCTGGCCTCTGGGAGATGTTGCATGTTTCGTCGATGCACATTGGTGTGGTGCTTTCAGAATGGGATGATGCAGCCATATATATATATTTTCCATGAATTGCTCTCAAGTAGATTGTGCCTGCCTGCCCTTGTCGGATTTGATAGACTTAGTGGATCACCTAGACATAGATCTAGCGGATACAACCTTACATACGGGATGAAAACTTCCTAGAACATGATCTAGAGATAGAGAGGAAGGGAGATGAGATGTCACCGACCATCTGCGGGCTTGGAGGAAGAGCTCGACGTAGCCATGGCGAAGGTGATGCGGTCCGGGTCGGCGGAGTCGCGGTCACGACGTTGAGGTTGGTCGCAGTGTAGTGGTGGTGCAGAGGCGGCGGTGAAGATGTCAGTGGAGCTTCCCGTCGCTTCAGCGTCTCCCTCTTAGATCAGATTAGGGCTAGGACTGTAGGTGGGAGAAAGGCGGCTCAGTTTAACCTCGTGACGCGAGCCCCGGCCTCCCACCTCCTTTATATTGCGCTGCGCGACGAGAGGCACACCAACCATGGAACGGTTGGGCACCCCCGATCATGGCGCGGATCAAGGCCCCGACTCGGTCATTGGACCGAGCCGAGAGGAGATCAACCTAACATGATTATGTATGGGTTGCTCTGGAACGGATGATATACATTGTGGTGCTGGCAGCATCAGAGTAATGCTTCTCCTGTGTTGATTACTGGAGAGCAACACAGGAGTCGCAGTGCAAAAATTGCTCATCCTGTGGGTTCAAGAATATCTGATTGCTTGCTTTGCCATGTGAATTGGGTAAACAGTCTGTGGATGGAAAATATTTTGTAGTAAAAAAACTGTGTATAGAACCTTCTTATCTCTGAACTATTAGTAGCAAAGAAAACCTTGAATTAGTATGGCATGTTTGAGTAGTTTCCAACCTTCTTGCTGCTTTCCAGGACACTTTGAATTGATATGGCATGTGTTTCTCTGAAATGAATTCAGGTTTGCTCATCCTGATGCTCAATGTAAACCATCTGAAGGCTAGTACTATGTACTATATTCATGATGGGAGATTGCTGTCACACTGCCAAAACAACACTATTTAAGTTCAGATCATCGATATTGGGCTCAACAACATGTACTATTTAAGTTGGGTCTCTCTCTAGCAACCGATTTACAGGCGTCATGCCTGCTGAGTGCTGACTGGACTTAAATTCAGCCCCGAGCATGGCATTTATCCCGACATCTGATGAAGCGCTTGCTTCAGCAGTTTCTGTTAACAGTTCGACAGTCAAAGTGAAACCTAGGGCTGAAAGCATGCGTACGCCGTTGGCAAGCCAGCAAGTATGCTTCCTCGTTTCTAGCGGTGTGAAAGTGAAATCCTCCGCTTCAGTGCTGTGCTGGTCTGCCGTCGTCTTACGACGTGTTTGGATTAGGGAACGGAACCATGCGGAGGCATCCGAACCCACAACCGAACCTTTTGGTTTGGTGGAGGGAATCGGTCCATCCGTCACCAGGTCCTGCTCTCCGCAGTGTAAAGGAGCCAGCCATTCGTTCCGTCAAAAACGGTCGGACGACACCGTCGGTCATCATCCGAGCCTCCTAGGACTGATTCCATGCCGGATGCATTGGTGCCGAACGTGGCCGTTCCTCAGTCCAAACACGCTGTTAGTTTTTCCACCCACCACGACACGCTCACCAACCCAGATGAATCCGTTGCAACCAAGAATCAAATCGACGATTATACTGCTCAAGATGATGAAAATGCTGCTTCTTTCCTTTCATCAGGTATGGAGGTACCGTCAGCAGTTGACCCCTCTTGAGCTGCAGCAATAAAACCCCTCAAAATGTATCAGCAAATTTTTGGAGGAGACGAGTTTAACTGGACCAGTCACATACAAATCCTAGACCTATATTATCAAGGAAAACTAAAGGCATGGAGGTAGTACAACTATGAGTCTGCCTCGCACTATTGCACTGAATGATCAACTGTTGAACTTGCATTAAAGGCCTCTGTCTTTTATATACAGTATAACACAAACCTAAATTGGACGCATTGAAAGGAACAGATGGATAATGTTACAAGGGTGCAGTAGCACAGCGCCCGTATCATCTAAATTGGTTGGGAACTGCACATTAAAGATAACTGGCAGAGTAGCTGATCTGGCATATACCTTTCCATACTTTTGACTCCTTGCTTGAAGGTGCGGAGATCCATCATGTTGGAAACCACGAACTTCAGCCTGGTAATTGATTACATGCAACGTAACAGCACAGTAATTTAAACAGATCTCATAATAGTTAAAAAAAAATCGTGCATCAAACTATAAGAAGCTAGGGGCCACAAAAGTTCCTTGGGGGAGAATGCAAGAACTAGAAATGAGTGGAAAAAACATCGCAACTCGTCAACATGAGGTAAGAAAGGTGAGCAAAGCACAAAGTGTCTTCATGTGAGTTTGCAAAATGCATTCCTTCCATGCAAATAAAGAAAATGTCAATATTCAGAAATGAAACATACAATACTAGAACTGGTGTTCATTGAAAATCTCCTCACTGGTGTTCATTGGAGGTCGGTGTGTGGATCTCTTGTTGCTCGAGCACTCAAAACACTCAGGGACGCAAGCGATTTTATCCTGGTTCGGGCTTCTGAGCCCTACGTCCAGCAATATGGTGTTCTTCGTGTTAGAAATGCCCCAATCAAGAGTTGTTGCAATGAAGGAATTGAGAGAGAGAGAGTACGCAGTGCTATCCTAAGGCTCTTTGAGTGATCGATCGGATCTCCTCTAACATAAAGCATGCATTTACACATCTCAATGATACGACCAACTATTTATCACCAACCTCTGCCTTGCACCCCTGCCCCTGAAATCTGGTCGGCAGTCTATCGAGGGGTATGCCCACGATAATAGATGAATCGGTGGAGGTGCGCGAGATACGAACTAGAAGGTAATACAAGCACCGAGACACAAGATTTAGACATGTTCGGCCGTCAGTATGACGTAATACCTACATCCTGTGTTTCGATATATTGCATTGAGATATATGAAGATATCCACTAGAGGATCCCTGCCTCTCCTTATATACTCTGGAGGGGTAGGGTTAAAAGGAAGATATCATATTTGATATTATATAATAAATCATATCTTTTTGTAGCCTTGCGGTGCACGCCTTGATCTTGTGGGCTGGGCCACATTTGGGGCACGACCCATGTCTTGTCTTGTGGGCACCGGGGGTCATACCCCCACAGCTAGTCCCCGAGCGCCTTGTATCTTTTGAGCAGCGCCATCTTGAGCTTGTCCGAGCTATCCAACTTGCTGCTGACCACTAGAGACAGGCTTCCGACCAGTTTATCTGGGAGCCGAGCCGTTGAAACAAGCATCCGAGCTGTTAACCAGGCATCCAAGCAGTTGAAAACGGCGTCCGAGCAATTGAAGTAGATGTCCGAGCAGTTCAACTGGGAGCTAGGCTCGTACTTACTCGAGTAAAGTTTGCCAGAAGGATGTAAGGGGCTCAACATAAAAATTGAAAATTCTCCACATTAGGTGAAGTGTAGCCACTTAGAGTCCTTAGTCAATTAAGGAGGGTAAATCAGAAAAAAAACACTACATTCACCGCTAGATGAAGTGTAGCCACTTAGTCCCCGAACCTGCTGGAAGATGAAAAAAATAAATTTTATAGCAGGGTCAAAGAATTTTAATGAAAGCTTGCCAAAGTCATCTGTCATGTACTTATCAAGACCCCGAATGTGCTGCCCAAGATCAGCACGCTGATCTGAACAGCATGGAGCAGCTTGAAAGCACAGCGATGAGACGTGGCAAAATCCAAACGCTAAGAGAGTCCCCAGCTTAGCTATCGGCTCTTGCACGAAGAATTCAAGCGCTGAGGAGTCCCTAGCTGGCAAGTCCTCAGCGTAGCTGTGATAAAGCCGAAGCAACGAGCAATATGACCAACGGGTTGGTGATGAGCGCCAAGCAGTCCAACTAACTGGTTGGCGGTGAAGTGAATGCCTGAGCAGACGTGAGCGTCGAACAGTACGACCAACTGGTCGGCGATGAAATCCATGAGCCGAACGGTTCGACCAGTTGGTCGGTGGTGAAGTCCGAGTACCAGGTGGGGCGACCACCCAGACGATGATCCTCTTGTCCATCCTGACAGATCCAGTCCCCGAGCGTAAGCTCGTTGACTGAACCAGGACCTTGTAATAAAAATATGTAGAACGGGTAGTTCATGATGTAAAAATAAAAAATTAAAACCCGGAGGAAAATCAGCAGTGGTGAAATAGCATAGCAGCGGCGATCAGTTATAGATGAACATTATATTTGTTTTTGGATAAACATTATTTTGTCAACAGTGGCGCGCTAGGTAGAGAACGTACGTGCTGATTTCATGACGAAGCAGATGGAAATTTTCTTCGTCAACAACGTGACGGTGATTCGACTCCCGCAGCGGCATGCTTCGACAGCCTGCTAGGGCAACTCGCAGCACGTCACGAGGCACGGAGACGAGCTGCGATCTCAGCGCTCCCACACATCCGCGCGTTGCAGCAAGCCACCACCGACAATTCACGAAGTCTGGCGGCAGCCTCGAGGATCGACAGCACGAGACGTGCGAAGCAAAAGTGGCGGGGCATCATCGTAACAAGAGCATTCGGCACCT